CCTTAGATAGAAAACTTTGAATAAATTTGACTGAATTATCTGTTGAACTGTAAAGTGCCTTGAGATGACATGTGTTGTGAAACTGAATTGAACTGAAGTTTTCTTTTCTTAATTTTATTAACAGTTAAACAGGAATAGCTCACAGCCAATCAGATTAGATGGAAACTGTCCATGACCATCCCCTTAGGTATCTTCCACAGATTCTGCCTGATTTATGTCTGGACTTGAACTGGGCCTTTCTAAAATAAATATGAAATAAGAAAAACAAAAAACATGGCAGCTCAGACTGTATAGTGTTATACCGGTCTCATCTGACCCGCTCATCCTCCTCCATGTGCTATGTTGAAAACTGCAGGACTAGTATATTTTTATGCAATAGTAAGGCTTAAGAACCTAACTCTGCTTCCCTGACCCATCTGCTGGGTTTCTTGGTCAGGGCATCGCTCTCTAATGTCCGAACAAACATCTGTGACATCAACTGTTTGCGCATGATTTATTCAGGGGTAATGGGCTGTCAGTGTTTGGTGTCTGTCTGTAGCTTAAACTACAGGTAAGAATAACTAAGGAGGCATTTTATTTCAAAACATCCCAAAAAGCGAAAGGAATTTTGTTAGATAATGACTAATTACTGAAATGAAAAAAATATTTTTTCAAATGCAACAGACTGAATGATTTTCATAAATCACATACTAGATTTAATATTATAATGTCATATCTATACTCTACTTCCACAAATTATCTTAAATCAAGTAGTAATTTCCTTATTTTTTAATTTCTTTAAATAAATGTGTTTACCCTTAATTTGAGCAGATGAGTAAGATATTCTACCAATAGAATGAGTATTTTTGCCCTAAAAAAATATACTATGCTCTTGAAATAAGATAATGTAGTTTGTTTTTTTCTTATTTAGGTTGTCTTAGTTAACTGCTCACATAAAGGGAAAGTACATTTATTTCAAGAAAAACTGACTTAGATTTCTAATTTTGCAGAGAAACTAGTATATGAAATGTCTGCAGAGTGTTTAGTATCAATCCAGAAAAATAACTGCCGACAGATGAACCTTTAAAAGCAGATAAGAGCTTGAGAGACTGTCTGTGAGGTCATTCAGAGGTTTCAAATTATATCTGTTGTTCATTGCCGACCTTTCAACTCTCCTCCAGCCAGATTACAGCAGATTTAAAAATAAAAATTCCGGAGTGTGTTGGATTAGAGCTGGAGAGAAATATCAAGACAGAATTGCCCCTCTGCAATTATTTCTCTTTTTTTTTATTTATTATTATTTTTTTTTTTATAAAGACCCCTAGATATAAACCTTCAAGGCTCTGAATTGATTTGGCATATTCACTGCTTAGATAGGAGGGAAATATGGGGTGAAAAGGATACCTAATAGACTGAGACTTCGGCGTGGAGGAGTGGGGGGGTGTGGAGTGTTTGTCCCTCGTAGAGAAATATCCACATCCACCAGGGATACAGTTTCACCTGAGGACACAGAGGAACAAATGGGAGGACAGGCTTCAAAACACAGAGGGACAGGAAGTTGGAAAAACAGAAGCAAAACTTTAATGGTGGTATGTATCGTTTCAGTAGATACATTTACACCAGGGACCAAAATAATCACATGTGGCGTTCACCAAGGGTCTATCTAAGGGCCCCTTCTACTCAGTATCTACAATATTTGTTATTATAACTATGCAGTTGTCACAGGGCTTAAGTAATCATTTTTGGACTAAAGGAAGAAGATTTAAAGAAAACAAACTACTTCAGTTAATCCAGCTAGAAACCAACAATCAGGCTCTAAATCTGGGTGTAGTGATGGACTTCAGAGGCTCAAAAAGACAGGAACAAACATTAATCCTTATTTATCTTCATATACTGTATATACCTTGATATACTGTATATATATTGTTTAATATACTTAATGCACCGTTTTCCTCCTTGTTAGAACCTTCTTTAATTATTAGGCCAATATGTGACCAGTGAATTTCTCCACTGTGAGATCAATAAAGCTCATCTAATCTAATCTAATCTAAAATCGGCCTTCTATCACCTAAAGAACATCTCCAGGATTTAAGGGACCAATGTCCCAGCAGGAGCTTGAAAAACTAATTCCTGCTTCATTCATTTTCACTAGAATTGATCCCTGCAGTTGTGTCTTCACAGGTCTGCCTAAAAAGTGGATTAGACAGCTGATCCAGAATGCTGCTGCCAGTGTCCTCACTAGAACTAGGAAAGTGGAGAACATCAGTCTAGTTCTAAAGTCCTCCCACTGGCTCCCCATATCTGAGAGAATAGACTTTAAAATACTCCTGCTAATCTATAAATCACTGAATGGTTTGGCTCCAAAATACATTACAAATTGATACCAGTGGATCAACAGCCAGACCTCTAAGGTCTTCTTTATCTAAACTATTCTGCGTACCCTGAACTAGAGCCAAACATGAAGCAGTTTTAATTATTAGACCCCACTAATCTAGAATAAACTGCCAGAGAACTGTGAGAATTTTAAATCTAGATTAAAAACATATTTGTTGTGGCTGTGCTAGCTAAACATCATTAGTAAAGTTTTTAGTCCAACTTTCCTCTCATTTTTAATCAATATTTTTAAATATTTTTTAAACACAAGATTGTCTTATTGTAACTATAATTTTTTAGATTTTGTAATATTTTTGTTATTCTTATGCCAATGCAATGTATTTATCTTTTTTTTTTTTATCATGTCGAGCATTTTATATTGCCCTGCTACTGAAATGCTCAATAGAGGGGAAAAAAAAGTCTCCAGCTTGTTTGTCTCCATAGTCTGGTTCTGTTTGCCACAGCGGCAGAAACCAGTCATCTTTAAGCCAAAGGCCCCTTTAGAAGCTGCATCTGCAGTGGAGGGCCCAAACATGGCCCTTATTCCATGGGGCCATAGGATCAAACTCAGTACCAGGTGATGATCGATAAACAGCTGCAGGAGAGATCAATCATCGACCTTTAACTCAAAGTGACCTGGTACCAGGTGCACGTATGAATCCCCCTGCATTAAAACATGGTGATCCATCATGAAATTTCCTTTCTAGTAAAAAAGTGCAAAAGGCAAAATGCAGCAGATTCAGATTGAGGGCATTGGTGTCCCCAGCGAGCACCACAGGATTCCCAGAAGGCACTGCTTCTAGGACACCATCTAGAAACTGTGACCACTGAGTTATTTGAAAAAAAAATAAATTCCATCAGTGACAACAAATAAATTAGTGATGAATGGTGTTTTGATTAATTCATGGGGGAAAAAATCCTGGAACTAAAAGATTTTGCTTCTGAGAAAAACAGATTTTTTTAATAAAGTCAGCATATTTATTTTAACCAGATCAGCTCCAAGCCTCCTCATCATTTTTACACGAGCACTCTGTCCTAAATAATTAAACACTAATGCAATGGTGAGATGGTCAGGTCAGCTAAACAGGGTGACTGAAGGGCACACACATGTAAATACATGATTTAACAATGCATTGAAAAACCTAAAAATCAGAGTAACAAACAAAAAAATGCTGCAAAGAAAAAAAGCTGCAATCACAGTAAATAGAGAGCAGCAAAGTGAACACGGATCGGGGACATTTTACATGCAGGGAGGCACAACATGTCCACGCAGGGTGGCAATGCTGCACACCTTTACTGCAATGTGGAAGTAAATGTGATATAAATGGAACCAACACAACACTTTAATTCTTTTATTATGTAATTTTGTCTTCTAAGAAACAAAAACCACTAGGGATGCACGATATTGGGATTTTGGCCGATATCCGATATGCCGATATTTTCAAACTCATGTAGCCGATAACCGATACTGATGTTAAAGCTGGACAAAAATAAGTAGTCATTGAAAATAGCAGTTTTATCCATTTCTGACACAAAAATAATATACTCA